TCAACAGGCGTGAAGTCTCAGTTACGGAAGATGAACATGTTCTAGAGATCCTTGTGCCTGTAGTTAACAGTACTACACCGCACACCCCAGTTGTTAAGAAGGTAGATCTTATGTGACTTGTTCTTACAATAAAGTTTTAATAAACAAAGAATGTGGGCAGGGTTTAGCAGCAAGGGCTCATCTTTGCTCCATATAGTATCATCTGTGGTGTTGCGCTGAGGCCGGGGCTGGAGCTGGAGAATCCAAGATGGAATCACTCATGCCTGGAGCCTCAGCCAGGTTGACTTACTCAGCTGGCCATTGGCTGAGATGGCTGGGCCTGTCTCTTCTCCGGGTGTCGACCTGACCCTCTTGTGTATCTGTTTGGTCTTCCACAGGGCGCCTCTCTCTTCTTATGGATAGACTGGACTTCTTTATATGTGGTTGAGTTTCCTTCTGTGCAAAAGTAGAAGTTACAGGGCCTGACCCTAGAAGTCCCCCACCCTCAACTTCATGTCATGCTGTTGATCACAAACCCATCCAGATTCAAGTGGTGGGAGGGAAAGTTCCCCACTCTTGTTGGGAGTTGTGAGAGAAATGGCTGGCGGCCATCACTGCGATTTACTACAAATCGTAACCTCAACTTTGGGACGGTGTAATTGTGAGGGTATAATGGCGAAGGTCTTGCCTCTCCACCAGGTTTCCACTGACAGCACCCAGTAGGAGAAGGGTGTTTCATTGCTGCTAGCTGGGGGTAGAAGACCAGACTCCCCGCGTGGGCTCTTCTCACTCTGTGGGGCCGGGGAGGTAGGGGGGAGGGCATGCCTCATCCCTGGACCTCAGATCCCTCCTTGGCCTTCTCTCATAGTCCCAGCATGTGAGTTGAGGAGCCCTGTGATAACCATGAAAGGTTGGAAATATAGGCCCCCTGCTTGGCTTACGCTGGTGTGGGATGGGTGGGTATCATTTTCTTTTCCTGTGATGTTTGGAACAGCACTTGTCTTAAAGTTTTCTGTCTTGCTTGGTGGCTCGTCTCCTGGTCTTTTGACTAAAGAGCCCATGCTCTCTTAGAGCTTTTTCGTCTATACCCGTTGATACTCCCAGCTTGCCTGCTTCTTCGGCTGCAAGTTTGAAGTATGTGAGGTGAAGAGAAGACCCAGGGAACCTGCCATGGTGCTGTTTCTCAGGCTCCCAGCTCCCCACCCTGTCTGTCTTCTTCTCTCCACCTTTCAGAGTTGTCTTGTGTTTCCCTTATATATAATGTCCAATTTATATATAATGTCCAATACAGGAAGCATAGGGAAAAGTAAGTCTACTCCATCTTGCTGGAAGCAGAAGTTCTGTAATTTGGTTTTTAAATTGAAAGGAATAACAGAATTTATTGTAGGTAAACAGCACTGAACTATTTAAGAGCATAATCATATAATCATAAGTGTAATTTATTAAACTTCTAAGAATTTCATAGTTCCTTAGTAAGATTTTGTTTAAAATAAACTAGATTCATGAATCTGTTACTTTTATGGCAAATATAATTTTTTTAAGAAATCGAAGTGATACAGGTAGCCTTTTTTTGTCAGCAGAAGCCACCCCTCTAAGAAAAGAAAGAAGTAGAAATAAACATTCATGTTTACTGGGAATTGAACTAAGTATATACATGTTCCCAGACTGCGTACGGGAAGCATTGACTCAGTTAGGCTCTGTGGGGCAAGTAACAGAAACCAGCTCTTAAGCAAAAAAGACTGTGGGACTGCTCCCGGAACGGAAGGAAGAGCCAGGGAAGCAGGCTTCTGGAAGTCACAGGCACCAGGATGGCTCCTGGGGCCTGATTGCCCAGGCCTGGCCTTGGGCAGCAATGAGCCCAGACTTCTGTCAGCCTTCATGCTTCTCTATTCAAGATTTGGACCCCAGAGGGACACCTGGAGGGCTCAGTCAGTGAAGTGTCTGAGTCTTGATTTCAGCTTAGGCCATGATCTCCAGGTTGTGATTTCGAGCCCCGTCTCGGGCTCCATCCTGAGTGCTGAGTGTGGAGCCTGCTTAAGATTCTCTCTCTTCCTTTGCCTCTCCCCCACAACTGGCAGGCTCTCTCTCTCTTAAAAAAAAAAAAAAGTGTGTGTGTGTGTGTGTGTGTGTGTGTGTGTGTGTGTATGTGTGTGTGTGCGCTCATGCACGCACATGTGCATAGGTGTATGTTTATATACATATGGATCCAGAGAGGGTTTCTGACCGGGTCATAGGCCCATCGTGGTCCAGGAGAGGATGAAGCACTTGGAATGACAGTCCCCACAAGACCATACAAGGGGAAGTTGGGGGCATGGGGGGGTGCTTACAGCAAAATCAGGGTATTATTACCAGAAGAAAAAGAACGTGGTTAAGATGGCAGGTGTGAGCATCACAGATGTCTGCAGACGAAAAGTTCTAGAGCCTCATAGGTTTGGGACACCTGGGATGGACAATGAGGACCCACCTGTGGGCCTCCAAGCAGTGGACCGAGGATCCAGTGTTTCCCAAACTCACTTAACCATGTTGTGCTTTTTGCCTCAGAGCTCCATTGACCTCTTTAGGAACCCAGTTAGGGAAACCCTGGCCTGGTTGATCTCCAGTGACCTTTGAGCTCTGAGATCCTGTGATCCTACAGGACAGGCATGGCTTCTGCTTGATTCTGTCTAAGAAGAGACAACAAAAACACATAGAACAGAAATGGCAAAGGATCAAGGAAGCACAGCTCAGGCTATGAGAGCCATCTTGGGAAGAAGTGGAAGCCAGCTCCCTTGGGTCCATGAGATGCCCTCAGTGACCTTCTATTAATGAGTTGTTGTATGAAGTGAAATGAATATAAGTCAGTTTCCTGCCTACCCTGGTCCTTCACTTGCTTTTCATTGGCAGTCTGGTCCTGACCCAGGGCTTAGGTGAGGGCTGGAAGGCCCCTTGGAGGTTATCTGGGCCACCATCTACATTTTCCAGACAGGGACATACAAGCCTGATGAGGGGAAGGGACTCATCTAAGGTCATGCTGTGATGAGGCAGCAGAGCTAAAACTAGAACCCATGTCTCCGGGCTCCCTGCTCAATGTCTTTCCTTTATTCTGCAATGCTGCACCTTGCTGGGGACAAAGTCAAGGACAGCCATGGTGGTTTCCATCCGTAGACGCCCCCCCCCTCCTTCTACCGTAACTCATAGCTGACTGCCTTCTTAGTTGTCTAGGCCCTCAGCATTCCAGGGAAGAGGGGAGCAGAGGGGACAGAGGGCTGACTTCCTGCCTTATGCTTGCTAATTACCTGTCTCTCAGATGAACTGCAAGACTGTGTTTGCCTTGTTTACTCTTGGTTTGCTAGCACCCAGCCCAGGCCTTGCAGAGCTGGCCAATTTCACAGGGAGGGTGGCCAGGTGGGGGAACCTCTAGAGCAAAAGGGGAGTTGAAAAAGGCCCATCCTGGACTGGGAGGATTCATATTTGGCTAAGAGAACATACTTTGGTGTTTAGTGGTGAAAAAAAAAACCCTGGAGGGCCTGTGGGGGACGTAGTATAGTGTGGTTTCCATGCTGAGGCAAGTGCCCTTTGACTCGGCAGTCCTCCTAAGAATGTATCCCAAGGGAGTAATCCTCATAAATGTAAAAAAATGCATGTACTAGATATTCGATCACAGCGGTGTTTAAAAAAAAAGAAATGGCCCACGTATCCAACAGTGGAGAAGCAATGATATAAAATACAGCATATCAAATGACGAATTATTTGGTATTTATTAAAAATGATGAATTAGGGGCACCTGTGTGGCTCAGTTGGTTAACAGTCTGACTTTGGGTCAAGTCATGATCCCAGGGTCCTGGGATTGAGCCCTGTGTCAGGCTCCATGCTCAGTGGGACGTCTGCTTCTTCTCTTCCTTGGCCCCTTCCCCCCAACTCACACTCTCTCGCTCTCTCATTTCTCTCAAATAAATAGATAAAATCCTTTTTTTAAAGATTTTATTTATTTGACAAAGAGAGAGACAGCAAGAGAGGGAACACATGTAGGGGGAGTGGGAGAGGGAGAAGCAGGCTTCCCACTGAGCAGGGAGCCCGATGTGGGCCTCCATCCCAGGACCTGGGATCATGACCTGAGCCGAAGGCAGACACTTAACAACTGAGCCACCCAGGCGCCCCTACAATAAATAAAATATATTTTTTTAAATGATGAATTAAATATGCCCGACAGGAATGTGTTTATAATTTCTTAAGTAAAGGAACCGGTTATAAAACAGATCATAATCTTATTTTTACAACATAAACTAACATTGTCATTCATATCTGAATTTATGGACAGAAAAAAATTTTACAAGAACAAGAAAAAAGTTTATAAGAACAAAATGTCTGCAGTAGTTAGCTCTGGGTTAGAATTACAGGTGGCTTTTCTGTTTTGTTGTGATTTTTACTCTTCCTGTCATTTCTTTGTATTTCCTGATTATTATACGATGAATATATGCCTAGTAATTGTCTTTTGAAGTTAAAAGAAGATGCCATGATAAAGAATCCGAACCTTATTTTTAAGGTGACAGAAGTTAAACGTTTGTAAATGAAATCATTAAAAATGCCAGGAGCGAATTAGCCAGTTTAAAGAGTCTCATTGAGACCCCTCTGGGAACATGAAGAGTCCATTGATTAAATGGCAAATAGTACCCCCATCTGTGTTTCTTTTATAAATTCCAGTTTCTGAATGTTGCTTGTGTGCACAAGACTGCACGAGTCAGTACAGTAAGGAAAGAGCAGAGCAGGTTAAGGCCTTATTGGGTCATTGTGACCCTGGACCCAGGACAGTTGCTTTCAGGAAGTGTCCAGCTCAGGGCGGTGTTTTGTAAACCAATAAGGCAGCCGCATTAGCCTTGAGTAGTAAATGGTAAAACTCCCAGTAGGAGGTCTGGGATGTGGCTTTGTGGCAGATGTCTTTCTGGTTTTGTTTTGGGACAGCGAAGGGTGGGGTTTCTGCTGCGTCCCTGGGGCTCTTTGGCTTAGACCCAGCTCACATCTGCTCCTGGGAACTTTCCTTGCAGGAGAACTTGATCGGCGCCCTTTTGGCGATTTTCGGGCACCTTGTGGTCAGCATTGCGCTTAACCTACAGGTAAGTCTCGGTCACGAGCACTGTCTGGGGGCAGAGATACAGCTGGTCAGCCCAGGGGTTTGGTGCGGGCCCAGCTGCCTCCTCGCTGCGGGACGTTGCCTCCCTCCATTCCTGGGCTGGGCCTTGGGCAATCCCCTGTGGTTGTTCCAGAATCTCTCTTGAATCTTTGCCCCCACGTGATCCCCTACTGCCCTCAACTCTGATGACGGCGTACTCCGTGACTTAGACCTTCCTGGGGTGCTCTGAAGCCGCTGAGCTGGTCCACAGCTGTGGTTTGGTGCACGCTGATAGATTGGGGAGCTCCTGAGGGTGCCCCGGAAACTGGTTCCATGGACATGTGTGAACTGGGTGGCAGCCATGGTGGTGGTTGCCCCGCTGGGGCAGTTTTTAGCCGGTGGGGGACAGGAGTCCGTGCATAAATGCCCAGGCTGCCATCCTGTGGTCTCATGGCTGTGAGCTGGTTCACAGGGTTTCCCAGTGGGTCCCCCGTGGGATGAGCCCCCTGCTGCCCAGGACACTCATTCTGCACCCTCCACTGGTGTGCTCCCTTCTCCAGCTCACTTTCCCACTCCCTTACGATGCCTCCGGGAATCACGTCCTCCCAAGTCCAGTCTCAGGGACTGCTCTGGGACACCCTGACCAAGGCTTGACACCTGCCGACGGGTTAATTCCTACAGCATGCTGGCCCGCTCCTCCCCGCCCGCACTGCCAAGCTTCGGGTTGTGGAGAGGCGCCCTCCCTCCCCAGATCAGAGATGTGAACACACACGGGTAACCCGGTACCTCTCAGTGCCACGCACACCCGTGTGCCCGGAGTGTGCCTGTGTGTTTCAGAGGCTGCATGGTCTTCTGGCTGCTTGTCGGTTCGTGCTTTGCTTTATACAGAGCAGTCTCTCTGCTTCCGCACCCGCTCGGTTGCGGTTCCCATCATGGTCCTTCCCCCTGCAAGTGGGAGCTGTGGTCCGCTAAGTGAGCATGACTGCCTTGCTCTCCTTGGTCACCTCCCTACTTTCTATGTCCCAAGTGCACATTTCCAGAACAAAGACTATTGGCCATACCTGGGCCAAGTATCCACCTGAGGGAGGGCAGAATGCCCCAGGGACTGCCCAGAAGAGTTCAGGCTCTACTATAGAAGGGAGTGCAGCCAAACAGACACCCTGAGCATGGGGACCCTGGGGCACTGCTGTTAGAGGGAGATGCTCAACCCAAAGCCAAGGGAACCTGGGATGGCGTCCACGACCCCGGCTCCGGCTCCAGACTGCACGCTGCCTGTGCTGTGCATTAGAAATGCACATTTCCAGCTCTCCCCAGGGAGTGTCTGAGTCTTCCCAGCCAGTTTGAGAACTGCTGTCTTAAGAGTGACAGCCTGGTATTAAGATCGGGACTGCTTGCCTCTTCTCTGAGCTGGAACTCCAAAAAAACACATCTTCCCAAATAAAAATGGGTGGTAGATTTAGGATACAGATGTCATAGCCTCTTTTTCCCCAAATCTCTGGGCAAATCACCTTCTTTCTTGGATTTCTAGAAGTACTGCCACATCCGCCTGGCAGGCTCCAAGGACCCCCGAGCCTATTTCAAGACCAAAACATGGTGGCTGGGCCTGTTCCTGATGCTGCTGGGCGAGCTGGGCGTGTTTGCCTCCTACGCCTTCGCTCCGCTGTCGCTGATCGTGCCCCTTGGTGCGGTCTCCGTGATAGGTAAGACCGGGGTCCCTCCCCGCCACTGCTACTCCCTGGGACCCACACACCTGGGCCACCACCATACTCAGCAAACAAAGCAGCTTCTGCTTGGTAATGTCGCTGACACGAAGGGCTTCATACACGCCGGCCTGGTGCAAAGCACTTTACAGATATTAATTCCACTCCTCCTTTTTGAGGGTGACACTGTCACGATCCCCACTTTACAGATGAGGAACTAGGGGTACAGGGTGGCAGGGCTGGGGTACAGGATGATCTGGCTCCGTAATCTGTTTAAGACTCAGAAACTTTATCAGAATTGCTTTCTATTCCCACTGCAGAAGGAAGATACAAACAGGAAGCTTTCATCCCAGCACTGTCAGGACAACCTGAGCTTTCGTAGGATTCAGACAGCTTACCCTCTAACAGACAGGCCTTCCACTGAGGCTCTGATCTTTTTGCATCAGCTGATATTACGTCTGAAGCATTGGTCACTTTCTCACCTGCCGTTTCTCTGTGATCTCTGTAATCCCCAAACCAGTGTCTCAGAGCATTTGAACCAAGGAAAAGATAAAGGAGCTTTGATGTTTGTGTTCCACAAATTAAATAGCATTAGGGAAAAAAAATTTTCTTCTTAAATAAAAGATGTTAGTAGATAGTGAACACAGGAGCGGGGACCATGAACTTGCGTTGAAATGTTCCCTTCTGCTTGCTGGCAGGCCCCACATGGCCTGGAAGCCCTTCCCTGCTCTTAAAGAAAAAAGTGGCATTTTGAGTAGTCTTTTTCCTTCTGGAGTTAAGAGGGCGTCTTCTACCCCACGGAGAAGGGCAGCAACCACGCGCCCGGCCTGTGCCCGTGGCAGACGTCATCAGTCAGGCAGGGGGTCCCTTAGTGAGAATTCTCAGAGTTTCAGGCAGTCCCCCCAATGACCAGAAGTTGGCAAAGAAGTGGAAACCTGTTGCTTTTCCCGATCCCATGAAGAGTCCCCCTCTTTCTTGACCTGGGTTTGTACTTTCACGGCCCACGAGACGAGTGAGGTCCTCCAACATGCTGTGTTTTTATCCACACAATATTGTTGTAAAATATAATCTGACCATAGAGTTGAGGGTCCAGGAGTAGGGGCTGATTGGACGATGGGCATGAAGGAGGGCTGATGTAACAAGCACCGATGAGTCACTAAATCCTGCCTCCTGAAACTAACAATACAGTATACATTAGCGAAGTTGAATTTAAATAAAGAATATTTTTAAAATAAAAAATATAATAGTTTTAATAATTTAGTAATAATAGTAAAATATAATCCGAGTGCCTTTAGTTGAGGCGAGTAGCTTTTCCCAGTCCCAGCCTTTCCTTGTGTTCTCTGGCCCACTTTCTATGTCTGTATTTTGGGTCCTCCCTGACCGGGATTGAGGTTTGTCCTCTGCCCATAGCTGACCTCTGAAAAGGCTTTGGAACCTTTCCCCACAATGAGAAACAGGTGATTGAGTGACAAAGTTCTTTAAATCGTTGCCTCCGAATTTTAATACTTTAGTAATTCTCACAATCAAATTCTTAAACATAAGAGACTGAAGTAGAACAATGGATTCTCAGGCACCAGCAGCTAGAAATTGAGGGGCTCTCGGAGCTTCTTAAGTCACCCAGTAAAAAACAGTAATAAAAACAAATAATAAAGTAATCGCCACCATTTGTTGCGTACCTATTACTTATCAGTCACTATCCCAGTTACTTCAATAATAATAATAGCTCAGTTATCAAGTATTTACCATGGACACATGATTTACATGCACTTTCTCATTGAATTGCCCTTAAAGCTCAGAGAAGGGGGTGCTTTCAGCGGTGTGCTGATGAACCAACATTCAGAGAGGGAGAAAATGAGAGAGGAAAAAGAAGAGGATAAGGCAGTGGGGGAAGGGAGGGAGGGAGACAGAAAGGAGGGAAGGAAGGAGAAAGTAGGAAAGGAGAATAGGAAGACCCCATGTGTAGTGTTTCTGATTTATACGGTGTGAAGACCACCACCATGGTTGCCCATGCGACAGTGGGTTCCTCAGTATTTAACAAGCAGCAAGCTGGCCTGAGCTGGATCCAAACTGAGACTCACAGGTAGTGACTCACCCCAGAACACACAGAGCTGAGAATAGCCATCCAGGTCTCTTCCCAGTAATGCCAGCCCCATCCCTCCAGGCAGTGACCAGGAAGTCTGAGAAGGAGACAGAAGAACCATGGGGAGAATGTCAGAGCTAGTCACAGCAATGGAAGGAGCGAGGGCCCTGGGGTCCAGCAGTCCTTACCAGTTGCATGGTCCTGACCAGCACCCTCACTTTTCCCAGCCTCAGTGTCCCGTTTTTCAGATGGGAATAATAACGGCACCCACCTTGGGTAGACATGCCAGAAATAACCTGTGCAAATGACCTGTCACACTGCAAGTACTCCACACCAGTGCTCCCGGACTTGTAGAAATCCTCAGGAAGACTCAGAGAGGAGCCTCCCTTTCTGAGATGGGAAAAGAGAGGAACCAGAAGGACTGAGTTTGGGGGAGCAGGAGGGAGAGGGTAGGAAGTACCAAACCCTAAGGCAAATGAGTCTACCCTAGGGCCTAGGCAAAGGGACTCCACTGGACTGAGAGCAGCCTCCATTTTCTTTTCTTTGTGCTTTTATTTTTTTGTAGCTAGTGCCATCATAGGAATCATATTCATCAAAGAAAAATGGAAACCCAAAGACTTTCTGAGTAAGTTCACCAATTTGAGCCCCTGTTCTTAATTCTGTGCTTGTGCTATTTTGTTTTGTTTTGTTTTTTCATTATAAAACCAGCTCACCCCAATTTAGAGATCATCTGTCTCCTGCTCCCTTCTGTGCTGTGTAGTCCACCCTTATAGGGCTCCTGAGAGCTGGGCTTTTTAATCAGTAGTTCCCAAATCTGGCTACACAGCAGAATCATCTGTGAGACTTCTTAAAAGGAGGTTGATTTCATTCCACTCAATCAATATTTATTGAGCATCCATTGTTGGGATTTTAGGAGGCCTGATAAAAGGCACCCTCTTTATTTAAATGAGTTCTAAAGCAAATGGGAAGCTTGGAGGTCAGGAGTCATTCTTTATTACTTGTACAAGCTGGATTAGAGCTTACGGGTTAAACATGCAGCCAGATGAATTTGCTCACGTAGCCAGGTTTGGGAACCACTGTTCTGAATCATGGGTACAGGATGGGGGCAAGATGGGGCCAGTGGCTGGAAAAGAAAAGAATCTTTCACTGAAAAAAGAAGAGTTAATATACGATGCCAAGACCAAAAGACTCAGTGATTTGCAGTAGTCCTGATGGCAGAACGGTGGGGGAAGGGGGGGATGCAGGGGTAGCTGGGCTGGTTCTGAGGCCAGTGTAGTTTTATGTCCCTTCCAGGCTCACTCTAGAAAGTCCTGGTATAAGAGACATGCTAGTTCAGGCAGTGCCCTATGCGAATTTTAAAAAGATACCCCCTTTGGGCATCTGTGGTTTCATGGGCACATGCCTTGGTGAGCAGAGCATGGGCTAGATTTTAGCCCACGTTCTAAGGTGCTTTTGTGCAGTGAGCAACTTGTACAACTGTACATGGCTGTCCTGCCTAAAGTTTTATTAAATTCAGCAAACAGTCACCCAATGCTAGACCTGTGCTGTACACCACAGGCATGGAGATGAGTAAGACCTTTCCCTCCCTGAAGAAAACAGACTCTTGTATCTTAGCACAGGACTCATTACTAAGTTTAACCGTGGTTCATTCATTCATTGAAAAACTGAAAAACTGTTTTGAGGGCACCTTATGAGGCCTAGAATGAAAATTAAAGACATAAAAATGTATCACATTTTTGGGAGACCATGGAATGAAATATGTAGATAGATCTATCCAGAAATATCCAGAGGCTTGTGGTCACTGTGTGTAGCTCAGAACTCACAGCCCTTCTCAGCTTTCCCGGGTCTGGGCTGGACTTCAAGAGGCTTTTCACAAAATCCACAAGGTTCAGATGGAGTGTGACAGGACCCAGGGGAAGAGTCAGGAAACTCCCAGGCCGCCCTAACAGTGTCCAACAGGTCTGTGGAAAAGAACATTGATAGTCCTTTGGACCGGTCCCTTGGGATGAGATTAACTAGCAGATGGGAAATGATAAGGTCATTTTTAAAAGGTGCATGGTAGGCTCTGAAGGTTTGCTTGTGAGGTTTTGTTGTATTTGGTTTTTTTTATATTGCCCATAAAGTGATTCTGACTTTAAAACCTTCCCTGTAAAATGCATACTGAAACCATGATTCAGTAGCAGAATGGCTGCTCTGAAGGAGAAAAAGAGGCAGTTCTACTCTAATGCTCTCCCAGCAGGAATGGAAATGGAGTTTGGAAAACCATTTGACAGTAACTACGAAGCTGAAGGTCCACCTGTCCCCTGACTGGGGAATTCCCACTCCTAGTTTTATACCCAGCAGAAACAGGGGCAGTGTGTTTTCCAAATGACACGCACAAGGATGCCCATAGCGACAGTATCTGTTATAACCCTGGAGAGCATTCAAACACACATGAGCAGCATATGGATAAATATGGGTGTGGATATGGGAAGGGATAAATTGTGTTCACATGCCGTACAGGTGTGAGAACTAAGGAAACACCTCCATACTCCACACGAGGATACAAGTGAATCTCACAGACTCACAAACATCTTATGTGAACACAGACACAAGAAATCATATAGCTTGAGTCCACGTAGAGAAAGTTCAAAACCAGGCCAACTCTCAGTGCTGGCAGAAGTCAGTGTTACCTTGGGGCTGTGGCCTAGTGATTGGAAGGGGACACAAGTGAGGATGTCGGGGTCCTGCTAATTTTCCCTTTCTTGACCTGGGTTGTGGTTACATTGGGTGTGTTCTCCTTGTGAGAATTCGTGGAGTACTTGTTGGCATACATGCTACACTCTCGCTAAAATTTTTTAATATTAAATGTAATTTTCTTTAAGATTTTATTTATTTATTTATTTATTAGAGAGAGAAAGCACAAGTAGGGGGAACAGTAAAGGGAGAGGGAGAGGCAGAGTCCCTGCTGAGCAAGGAGCCCCACACAGGGATCGATCCTAGAACCCTGGGATCATGACCTGAGCTGGAGGCAGTTGCTTAACTGACTGAGCCACCCAGGCGTCCCTAAATGTTATCATTATTTTTTTATGAATGTTATTTTTTAAAATAACAATAAGGGAGATGATCTATTTGTGAGGTGAAGAAAAACCAAAAATAGCGGGTCATCACGTGTTGCTCTAGAAACACATATGGGCCTGAAGCCTGCACCTGTGGTGAGCCTGTGACAGCCTCCCCCCTTTCCTGCAGGGCGCTACGTCTTGTCCTTCGTCGGCTGTGGTCTGGCCATCGTGGGCACCTACTTGCTGGTGACATTCGCACCCAACAGCCACGAGAAGATGACAGGCGAGAACATCACCAGGCACCTCGTGAGCTGGCCTTTTCTCTTGTACATGGTAAGAGAAGCCCTTGGTCCTACCCGTGATTGCAGGAGGGAGTATCAGGTCCTAGAACCCGGGAACTTGAACCTCCAGGAATAGGGGATTCGAGTGACGCGTGATGTATTTCCCAGCACCAAAGACCGTGCTTGTGAGGAGTATGGAGTTCATGGGAAAATGCTTTTATCACTTACATTCCAAGTAATGTCTACATCGGCATAGATAATATGATAATCTTAGTTTTTAGTTTTGGACCGTAGGTGTGTAGGTAGAATGTGTTGCTAAAGGACTGGATGGAAGATCAGCAATTCCATCCATGGTTGTCTCTGGGAGCTGGAATTATGACTGAGTTTTCATTTCACTTTTGTCTTTATGCACCATCCGAAATTTCTACAGTGAGCATTTAAGACTTTTATGGTAAGAAAACAGTTAAAATTTTAAACAGTAAAATTTGTGTTGTTTATTTATTTTTTTCCTGGTATCCCACAGGGATAGAAGCTGATAGAAACACAGGAGACTCTGAAATGGTCTCCTAAACTCCCAGGCCCACTTGTGTCCCATGTTAGGTCTACAGATAAACTGATGGAGGAAGCATGTAAGGTATTTGATCAAGCTACTGCTGTAGATTCCTGTTCCCAGCCAGGCACTGTGCAAAACACTTAAAAAAAATTTTTTTTAAGATTTTATTTATTTATTTGACAGAGATCACAAGTAGGCAGGCAGGCAGAGAGAGCGAGAGAGGAAGGGAAGCAGGCTCCCCGCTGAGCAGAGAGCCCATTGTGGGGCTCGATCTCAGGGCCCTGGGATCATGACCCGAGCTGAAGGCAGAGGCTTTAACCCACTGAGCCACCCAGGCACCCCAGTGCAAAATACTTTCTTACGTATCATCTCAAATCCAACCGCCCTGTAAGGTAAATGTTTTTCTCCCCATTTTATGGATGAGACAACTGAGCTCAGGGAAGTTGGCTGACTGCCCAGAGTCCCATGAGAGCAGAGCTGGATTCGAGGCCGGCTTGGCCTGCTGATGAAGGTGGTCACTGTTTTTCCTCTGACACGAATAGCCTAGCAGTGCTCTACAGGCCTGGAATGTTCTTTCTCCTTAGTTTGCTCATGAGGCAGAGAATAGATTTCTCCAGGATTGAGCCTGAGTCACCTCCCTGCCTCTAGCCAGCCCCAGCACACACCTATGGTCCTGGGTGGGAGAAACGGCTGTAGGGCAGAGCCAGAGAACAACCCCTTCAGAAAAAGCTTAACCCCCAGAACACAGACTTCTCTCAGGGAGCCCTGGGCTTGAATCTGTGCTGTGTGACCTCACCCAAGTCACCTACCTGGAAGCTGGAATCAGGTGGGAGCCACTGGACCAGAGCTGGTGGCTGGGAGACGCAAGGTGGTGTGGAAATCACCCATCCCTCAGCAGATGCCTAGTTATCCCTCAGTTTGTCTTCCTTCCTCGTGTCTGCGAGGCGGTGCTACTGGAACCAAACTCAAGTGGGGTGGCTGCTGGGGGTGCGTTAAATGGACCACAATCCGAGGAAGTGTTGAAAGCAAAGAACTTTCCTTCCTTGTCACAAGTAAGGAGACAGGAAGATCACTGTCAGAGCACTGTCTCCCCTTGGGGTTAGTGCAGGAAGCTTTTATGCAGCGTGCTAGGGGGCAGGGGTGGAGAGCTTGGCATCTTAAGAAACTTAGACACCTTCGCTCCTTCCACACTTGGGTTTAACTGCACATGCTTAGCATGTCCGCATGCTGGTGTATACATTGTAAGTTCAAAAAAATGGCGGAAAACCCCTCCCGTAGAAGGAGATCTTGGTATTAGAAGGAGCCAGAGGTGACTTCTAGGGCAACTGAGGGGGCTGCCCTGCAGGCATCGATCTCGGTGTGGCTCTGGCAGCGGGGTAGCCCGCGGAATCCCTGCCCACACCGCTGCTTGGTGGGAGCCATTTGTTCTGCCAAACAGACCCATTCTTCCCCTGCGTTTGTCCCTTCCCCGTCCCCCTGATGGCTTTCAGTCCTCTGAACTGAGTAACTCTCTGTTGTGCCCTAACACTGCCAGCTAGAGAGATCGGTCCCCAGCGGATTCAGTCATTGTTTGTTTTGTTGTCTGCTGGGTGCCAAACAGCGGGGACGCCGGGCTGACGGTAGGGGCGCTAGCGAGCACAGCGTAGCAGAGAGAGGGGACGGCGTCCAGGCTCCGTGTCCTACACCAGATGCTTATGTCACCGCGTGTGTCAACTGTACTTCAGGAAAGAAAGAAAGATAGAAAAACAGGAGGGGGAGGGAGGGGGGGAGTGAGGAGAGAGACATGTTCCCAGGACTCAAGGTCACCCACACCGCCCTCTCGCCGCAGAAGGCTGAGCGCTCTTCCCAGGCTCATTTAAGCATCATGAAGAATGATTGGCAAACTGGGCACGCCCGATGGTTAGGGATGTGGATGAGTCATTTACCTACTTATGGTGTATTCTGCAGCGATTAAAGATAATTATGACAACTTCGTAAAATATGGGAATTGGTTTGTGGTGACTAAAAATGGCCCAGCACAAAATTATGCGTTCACTATGACGACAAGCAGATAAAATATGTATTCCTGGGGGTGCCTGGATGGCTCAGTCCTTAAGCGTCTGCCTTCTGCTGGGGTCATGATCCCAGGGTCCTGGGTTCTAGCCCCACATGGTGCTCCCTGCTTGACAGGAAGCCTGCTTTCCCCTCTCCCACTCCTCCTGCTTATGTTCCCTCTCTTGCTGTGTCTTTCTCTGTCAAATAAATAAAATATATATATATTTTTAATATGTATTCCTGGCCACAAAGACAGGAAGAAACAGGAAAATGAAAACAGCCAGATGGGTTTTTTTTTTTTTATGGTCTCTAATTAGGAATTTAAAAAATTTTCAAATACCCATTAGTTCTTCTGCGTTGGTTGTTATGATAAATAAACTCCGGTAAGAGGTTGGGGTAGGCAGATGGGACCGTGCCAAGGTCAAAGTTTGCTGCTTTTGTTTTGCTGGGCGCTGGTGCTGGTCTGACTTCTTGGGAAAATGTTGCCAAATGTCTGGGCCCTTGAGGAGTAGAAAGGACAGTTGTTAAGGCAAGGCGGGAACTCCCACTTCACACTTGTGCATGTCTAGCAGGAAGATTCTATTGACTGAGCGCCTTTTAAGCCCCAGGCCCTGGGCTTCCCTCGTTCAGGTGGTGTAGCCTTGTGGGAAATACATGGGGCCTGGAGGCAGACTGTCCAGGTTCAGATCCTGGCTCTGCCCTTTTATTAGCTTCAGATTGTGATCGTGCCTACTTCATAGAATCATTGTGCTGATTGAGTGAGTTTAGCGTAGATACGATGTTTAGAACGGTGCCTGGTATGTTTATGAGTTCGTTAAGTATTAGCAGTGATCGTGACCCTGCAAAGGAAGAATCATCCCCATTTCACGGATTGGGTAACTGAGGTTTAGAGAAGCTAAGTGCCTGGCCCAAGGTCACACAACTATTTTAGCAGTGGATCTGGTTTCATACTTGGCCTCCCTGACTGCAGATGTCCTTGTCTTTCTCCCCCACCGAGCCGCACCCACCGGAGGTGTGGTTAGGGGATGGGGACGTGAATACCTATCTACTTGCCCCAGGGAGCTCATCTCCTCAGTGAGCCAGTGACCCTCTCTTTGACCGACCTTCAGGGGTCACCCGCAGAGCAGCAAAGTGGAAAGAAACCTTCCCAGCCTGATCCTGGCCATCCATGACCGGCTGTGTGTGTGTACGGCCAGCACAGCGCCCTCAAAGCTCAGAGGTGAGCTCCTTGTCGGTGTTACCCAAGGGGCAGAGATTGCCGCAGAGTTCATTCTGAATCCCTTCCTTTTCCATGAAGTCTGTCCGTGGTTTGGGAAATGCTGGCTGTTCAAGTCCCTTTCAGTGCTAAGGGTTGGTGACTCCAGCAGCATTAGCCCCAGTCCAGCCCACCAGCATCTCCCAGTCTTCCCCTCATCGTGTCCGCCCCGCTGACCACCTGCTTGCTGCTTCCCATAGCTTGTGGAGATCATCCTGTTCTGCTTGCTGCTCTACTTCTACAAGGAGAAGAATGCCAACAACATCATCGTGATTCTTCTCCTGGTGGCATTACTGGGTAAGTGGGGGTCCGGGTGGTTGAGCGTGGCCACCATCCCGTAGCACCACGAGGTCCCCGTGGACAGGAAGTGGCTTCCGTCAGTCCTGTCAAATACCCAGAGTTCCCTACGTGCCAGGAACAGTGCTGGAAACTGGCCACAGGGGTGAACAAGACAGACGGCCCTGTGCCCTCGGGGGTTCTCCGTTCCAAAGGCAGGAATGACCAGTAAGCAAGTAGGTGAATGCATAGAAGAGAGACACGTTGGGGCCATGAGGATCACGGTGAAGAAGAGGACAGCAGAGGGAAGGTGAGGCGGGGCGAGAAGGTCGAGGCAGACAGGCTCCAGCAACCGAGTCCTGAGGGCTTCCCCGCAAACTGGTCAGGCTAGGAATGAGTTTTGGATTCAAAAACAGGAACCAAGTTTGCTCTCTGACTTTTTTTTTCCCTCTCTTCTTGGAGGGATGGGTGCCATGTGAGAGACAGCTCCTACATCAGACCGAGGCAAGGCCTGACTCCACACGGAGTCTGACACGCTCACTAGAGCTGGGAGAAGGACCTGAGCTTTTAGGGAAGAGGTGGGGGACCCCCTCTGGCTGCTTCCCAGGGGCTCTGGCCTCAGACTGGTGACCCCTCCAGTTTAAGCCACATCGTCCTCTCAGAATAGACATAGGAGAATGCCCAGATCTCAGTGGGGAGAGCAGGGTTAAATGAGGTGGGCATAAGTGCCAAAGATGTATTGTTGGTCTTCTGTCCTTCCCACACTGAGCCCCCACTGCAGTGACAGGCCCTCAGCCCCACAGACAGGGGACACCGTAGGACAAGTTTCCATTATTTTGGTATTTTTAAAACAGCTTTATTGAGATATAATTTATATACCATAAAACTCACCTATTTAAAGTATACAGTATAAACAGAACCCCATAACATGTGGCTTTTTGTGATCGGTGTCTTTTACTGAGCGTAACACTTTAGATGTTTGTCCCGGGAGTAGCTAAGATCGGTGGTCCCTTCCTAAGTGCTCTTGTTTCCAAAGTAGATTGGAATGTCACAGTCCCCAAATGTCCTCTCTGGAGAGTAGGGAGGCCAGAAGGTTCTAAGGCGCATTGGCCGCCCTCCTCCTGCCCACTTCTCACTAACAGGGACACCCTCTTGAAAGAGCGTCTCTTAACTGGACTGCTGATGTTTGAAATGGTCATTGAGTTTGTCGGGGGCCCAGAAGCTGCTGTGTGATGGGCTGTTAGCAAGAGAGAAAATGTGCAGAAGCCGAGAAAAACAGGAGACCGGAGCCCTTCAGCCAGAACACTGGGCTTCATTTGTACCCGGATGTGGGGGTGGCCAGTGGGGGGGCCTGACAGCAGCCATTTCTGCACCACTGGGGAAAGCAGTGGTCTCCACGGTGAGGTGAACAGTGGTACCTCCAACACCTGTTCTATTACGTGCATACCCTATAAGCACAGCGTTACATGAGGATCACTTTAAAATGCACAAACACCTATATTTTGGAAAAGTATTCATGTGCCTAGAGGCAGGATTCCAAAATATTTGGAGATCTCTGTCTAATGAAACATTTTTAAAAATACAAGTGAATGAGCATTAAAATAAAAACTAGAGGGCGCTTGACACATCACGTGTTTTTTTTCCCCTGTAACTGCCATAAGAAGGGTACTCACAGGAAGTTCATGTATCCATTTAGGGATGATTTTTGACCATGGTCCAGACACAGAGAGTTAAACTCAATGCCCTTTCTTCCTGGTGTTCAGAAGTGACACTTGGAAGCATGTGGGCATTTTGCTTTCCACACCTTGGACAGAGCACATAGATAGCGGCAACTCGTGGAAGGCAGGGGAGATCTGCTGCCCCTGGTATCCTCACCATCCCTGGGGTGGCCCAGCCAGGGCTCCCTCCATCTTTTCTCGACACGTCCCTTGGAGTCATCAACTCACTTGCAGGGTCTGACGCCCTCGCTTGGTCCTCGTTCACCCCCTGCAGGCTCTATGACGGTGGTGACCGTGAAGGCCGTGGCCGGGATGCTCGTCTTGTCCATACAGGGGAATCTGCAGCTCGACTACCCCATCTTCTACGTGATGTTTGTGTGCATGGTGGCCACCGCTGTCTACCAGGCTGCGTGAGTTGCAAAGTCTTTTCCTGCTGGGCCTCTCCACGTTTTGGGGTCACTTCCATTTCTTGCACCTGATTTCATTTGTTCTTGAAGCTGTAGGGAAGGCAGAACATTGAGACACAGCCCGTGAGCTGAGCAAGGGTCAGCATCCACTGTGGAGAGAGGGGTCGCTGATCTGCTGAGCTGTCCCCTGGAGGGACTCTGTGCTCCTTGAAAGAAAAAGCTGGGAGTGGAGATGTTTTTCTCTCTGCCTCAAACTGGGAGAAGGGGCAGCCTCACTTTGCCTCTGCCCCAGTGTGGTTGTCTGTTTCAAGAACTTTAGAAGAGGCTGTGTGTGCCCCCATGAGACACTTCTCTGTCTGCTAGGTGGAACATAGCAAGTCGTCCTTTCTTGTCCTCCAGGAATCTTCTCCAGAGAGTGAGAGCATCATTTCTGTCTCAGAAGCAGTGGTCCTGAGGGTGGCCCTGGGCCTTGTTCCCATCTGAGACCAGGTGCTCTGCAGAGGGCCCAGGAGGGCCTGGGATGGCCCTGCTGGGGACAGGAGGGTAAACGGCACAGAGCTCAGTGTGGCATATGAGGCTGATGGATCCTGGGCAGGGCAGGCCCTGGGCCCCTGGTGGCTGGGCTCGCCTTCCCCCAGCAGTGGCCTGGAGCAGTTGTTAGAGTGACCGCTGCCTTGGGGCTCCAGGGGAAGCCCCTCACACACCCCCCTTTCATGTAAACTTTAATTCATCGGATCCCCCCACCGAACCCCTTGAAGCAGATGATCCCATCCTCATTTTGCATTTGAGCAACCAAAAGGGCAGGGCTGAGATGTGAACCCGGCATTGGGCTCCCCATCCCACACACCCTCACCATTCCAATCCAGGCCTCTGCCGCAGCTTCCCTGGGATCAGATTTCGTGTCCACAACTGAGAATAACAGCAAACCCTCCTTAGAAGGAGCGTGAAGCTCTCCGTGCCATCCCCAGGATGACCTCCTGAAAATCTCAGCCCCTTTTATGATCTTGATGACCATGATTATATTGATTATTACTGTCCCGAGTCCTACTGCAGAGATTCTGGTCATCGCCCCTGAGCCCACCCAGCCCCAGGCTCCGTGCTGAGCACTCCAGGGTTACAGAGGAGAATCTAGTACCCCCGACCCCTATGGGGGGGAGCTTCTCACTCACCCAGCCAGCACACAGCTGCACAGCCACACAGCCACCGAGGGCCTCCTGTGTGCCAGGGTCTTCTGCCACAGAGGCAAGAGCAACAGCCGCTGTCCTTGGAGGCACTGCCAGCGCTGGGATGGACGAGTGCAGTCGAGTGGGACAATATGAACAGCTACCACCCAGAGAACAGACAAAGAATATATTCCAGAATGAGGGAGTATCAATCCTAGATGGAGAGAGGAGGAATGAGTCTAATTTCCTCTCTCTCTTTTTCCCACCTTTATTGCAGTAAGCATGTTATTTTTTTATTGAGCAGAAAATGTGCTTTAAAAAAATATTGACAGCAACAGGCAGAATGCAGTAAGTGCCACGGGAGTTTCTTGGACTGTTCATGGGAACAGGATGGCCCTTTGTAGGGGTGCGTGGCGATGTAGGGGACACTGATGTGAGGAGAGGGGTATTTCCAGTGGGTGAGAACCATACGGCCAGAAGTATATACCTGGGAAGGCATGGCCCCCTTGGGGAATGGCGGTGGACCTCAAGTTGTGTGACAAGTGGGAGCGAAGCGTGGACCCCAGCCCCAGAGATGCACCTGCATGGCATCTTTCTTTCATGTATTGTCTTCATATTTCAAGCTAAGCCTGCTGTCACCAGCTGTCACCTCAGCCTTTCTAATGTGCCCACTGACCAGAGTGCTCTTGTGTTGAAGGTTTTTAAGTCAAGCCTCACAGATGTACGACTCCTCTTTGATTGCCAGCGTGGGCTACATTCTGTCCACTACCATTGCCATCACGGCAGGTAAGGGCGGCGACTGCTGGATTTCCATCTCCTACCTTAGCAGCAGCGACGTTACCCCAGTGTCGACGGATGAGGCTCCGCCTCTGGCAAAGGGCCAATTCTACTGACATGTTCTACCTGTCAGAGTTGTGTATAGTTTAATGGAGAAAGTGCAAGATTTCGAGCCAGAGAGACCTGGGTCCCAGAATAGACACGGAGCTGTGTGGCTCTGGGAGAGTCACTTAGCCTCTCTGAGCCTCAGTTCCACATTCATAAAATGGGAATAATTGAAATATGTACAGAATTGAAATATGTACAATATGTACTCAGTAGAGCGTGTATAAGGTTTCTTTAACAATTTTTGCCATCGTCTTCTAGCTCCTCTACGTGACCCCAGATTTCTTTCTATAATTTCGAAAGGTTACGACCGTATGAACATCTGTGATAGAACAGGTGGTGGGTAACCTGTCATCATTCTTATAGTCCCCTTTTCTTCCTTAGGTGGCTTCTGAGGCTACAAGCATATCAGATTGTCTTGTTTTTAAGGGGCAGTAAAGGCGAAAATCTTCAAAGTGAAAAGACCAGTATGGGCCAGTGTGCCTCCCTTTGAGCAAAGCTTGGCCATAAGGCTGTGTGTTTCGCACTCTAGAACCAGTGCTGCTCAAATCCTGCCCATAGAGGCAGGAGCAGGGTAGGCACACGGCCTGCTGGGGCCTGTGCGATGAGCAGACCCGGGGATCCAGTGGGATGTCAACCCGGAGCAGCCAGAAAGTGAACCCAGTGTGAAGATTTAAGTTCTGGTCAAGAACTTGGGTCTGTGGGGTGCCTGGGTGGCTCAGTGGGTTAAAGCCTCTGCCTTCGGCTCAGGTCATGATCCCAGGGTCCTGGGATCGAGCCCCGCATCGGGCTCTCTGCTCAGCGGGGAGCCTGCTTCCTCCTCTCTCTCTCTCTCTCTGCTTGCCTCTCTGCCTACTTGTGATCTCTGTCAAATAAATAAAATCTTTAAAAAAAAAAAAAAAGAACTTGGGTCTGGGCGAGGTTGAAAGGAATAGCCAACAGCACGAAGCAGTCAGAAGCTGGGTGGGGAGTGGGAGCCCAGAGATACAGCTAGAATCCCATGGAGGTGAAATGAGTCCAGACAGAGGCTGCTGGGGGGCAGGTGAGGGTGGCAAGCCCATGTTACTGCCGCCTCCTGGGAGGGGGCTGCAGGCCTGCCGTCTGCTGGCCATGTGAGGTAGGAAGGCTCTGAGCTTAACTTGAAGCCTTGTTTTTCCATTCTGAGAAAGACCAGAGAGTGCCGCTTGGGTGGCCCTGTTGGTTAAGTGTCGGACTCTTGGTATCAGCTTGGATCATGATTTCAGGGTTGTGGGATCGAGCCCTGCCTCGGGCTTCCCACTCAGTGCCATGTCTGCTTGGGATTCTCTCTCTCTCTCGCACCACTCCCACCCCTCCCTTCCTCCCTCCCTCCCTCTCTCTTTCTTTCTCTGATAAATAAATAAATCTAAAAAAAAAAAAAGATGGGTGAAGAGGGTGTTAAAAACTGGCAAAAAAGATCTACAGTTTTATTCTTAATATGTTTCATTGGGGGAGGCTGGGCACAGGGTCCATGCGAACTCTATACCCTTTTTGTGAGTCTAATGTTATCTCCAAATAAAAAGTTAAGAAAAAAGATGGCGATAAGAGGGACATTGGAGGAGAAAGAGAAGACAATCTGTCCCCCCCAAAAGGACTTTTATTCCACTCTTCTGACATGTACCCTGCTGGTCATCAGGCTCCTGACCACTTCGGTTTCCTGCAGTGAAGAGAGCTTAGCCGAATCTTAGACAGACAGGCAAGAAGGTGATTTGAAAACAGCTCACCCATATTTGCCGCTTTCTGCCTCTGCAGGCGCAGTGTTTTACCTGGACTTCATCGGGGAGGACGTACTGCACATCTGCATGTTTGCACTGGGGTGAGTCCCTGCTCCGTGGCCCTGGGGCAGCTCACCTGTCTGGCCCGCTATTGCCTCTGCCTCTCACACAATCCTCTAGAGCCCAGGGAGCAGCCAGAATTCAAAGCTTTGTCCCCCAGAGATGAGTGAGCATTTTACTCCCCAAAGGGCTTTATCTCCTTCCCCCTTCTCTTATTTTGGGCTTTAATCTCCTTGACATAGTTTCTAGACTATCCCTCTTAGACCCATGAAAAGACTCTCAGCCTCACCCCAGATCACAGAAATGCATTTTGAAGCCACAGGAGATGCCATGATTTTGCAAAACCCAGCAAGATTGAGGGTGTCCATGTCGGCCAGAGAATGAAGAGACCAGTTCTGTGCCACAGTGAGGAGATCTCTGATGCCAGAGGACAATCTGGCAGGACCACTAAAAATTACAAATGAGCAATGTTTGATGCAACATTCCAAATGGGACACAAAGGCACATGTATGAGGCTGTTTATTAATTTTAAAATTAATTGTATAAGTAAATAATTGAAAGTAGACTAAATGCCCAACAGTAGAATTCAGGTTAAATAAATTGCAGTATTCCCATATAATAAAGTACCATGCCACCATTTTGAAAAATTGAGGCCAGTCTGTAGATACCGACATAGAACCATGTCTAGGATGCATTAATGGAAAAAGTTACATTTTTCTGAATGTATGGTCTACCCTATGATCTAGCAGTTCCACATCTAGATACATACCCAAAAGAAATGAGTACATATTTTGACAAAATGACCTGTACCTAAATATTTATAGTAACTGTATTCGTCATATCCTCAAATTGGTTACAACCCAAATGTCTATCAACAGGGAGAGTGAAAAACAAATGATACAGTATATTCAGACAATGAATTCAGTATAACAATGAAAAATAATGAACTACTAATACATACAGTAAAGTGAATGAACCTTAAAAATATTTACGAGGGAAAGAAACCAGATAGAGTATATACTGTATGATTTAACTTGTAAGAAGTTCAAGGACAGAATGAGGCACCTGGGTGGCTCAGTCAGTAAGCGTCCAACTCGTGGTTTCAGCTCCCTGGGATCGAGCCCCACATCAGGCTCCACACTCAGCGTGGACTCTGCATCAGATTCTCCCCTCTCCTTCTGCCCCTCCCATCCCAGCTAAATAGATAACTCTTTTTAAAAATTCCTTTAAAAAGTTCAAGAACAGGCAAATCAAGTATCAGATGATAGTAGCCAGTGGCTTCCTGTGGTTTATCATGGATTGGGAGGGGTACAAGGAAACTTTCTGGGGTGGAGGAGATGGAAATCTCTTCTCTGTTGACCTGTGTGGTAATCGCAAGAGGGTACACACAGGTAAAATTCTTCAAGCACTACATTTAGGGTTTGTGCATTTTACTGCATGTGAATTTCACCTCAGTTTTTAAAAAGTGCACTTATTTAAGCTCTAGGGAAAAGGGGGGAGAAAAGGAATCTAGAAGAATCTACCCCTATCTGGGGACATAGGACCAGGGGGAGTTCAGGGACTTTTAACTTTTTCTTTTTCTCCTCCTGTATTGATTGAATTTAGGCCATAAAGAACTTTCTTTAGGGCATCTGCATGGCTCAGTTGGTTAAGTAGCTGCTTTCGGCTCGGGTCATGATCTCAGGGTCCTGGGATAGAGTCCCATATCGGGCTCTCTGCTTAGCAGAGAGCCTGCTTCTCCCTCTCCCCCTGCCTGCCTGTGCTCTCTATCTCTCTGTCAAATAAATAAATAAAATCTTTTTTTAAAAAAGAACTTTTTTAATTAAAAAAAATGTTTTTTTAAGGCGAGGTTCTAAGATACAGGTGAAATGGAAGTAAAGAACCATGGGAGCTTTGTCTAATTTATTCTGATGAATGCTGTGTGGCCTGCAAGGCATGGGAGGCTTTTCTTTATCCCGTGTATGAGTATCAACAGGGAGAGTAAAAAATTGTATCAGCTCAGATCATGATCTCAGGGTTGTGGGATCGAGCCCTGCCTCGGGCTTCCCATCTCAAGCCCGGAGGCCTCCCAGGGCTCCTCAGCAGCGACCCCCCCTCTGCGGCCTGCAGCCCTCTTTTCCCATTTTTCCCATTACCCGGGGTTGGAAAGCGAGCTCTCCTGCCCTCACCCTGGACTTTTTTCTCTCCCTCCCTTATCCCTGTTCCTCAGGTGCCTCATTGCATTCTTGGGCGTCTTCTTAATCACACGTAATCGGAAGAAGGCCATTCCATTCGAGCCCTATATTTCCATGGATGCCATGCCAGGTAACGTTGAAACCCCGTGTGTCCCACTGGCCAGCCCGTCCATATAGAATGACTGCTACTTCCTGTTTAAAAAGAGACAACCAGCCGCTGGGTTCGGTACAGGGAAGGTGTGCTGTGCCGTTACGGTGTGACCGTCTCTCTCTCTCTCTTTCTCTCTCTCTCTCTCTCTCTCCCTCTCTCTTTTTTAAAATCTCTCTGTGCCAAATAGGCAATGGTGGAGGCACCTCGGTTGGTTTTGAGCCCATCTTGCCAGTTCCCGTGTTTATTTTAGGATCTCTTTAAAGACAGGCCCGATTCACACCGGGTATACTTGTGATCTGTACATCAGGCTTCATGCCTGCAGAAGGAAAAAAAAAAAAAATCCACTCATCGAAATGGAATGGAATAACCAGAGAGGGGAAGGAAAATAGGATGAATGAAATTCAGAGACTATCGCCTCACTTCTTAGGTGGCACCAGAGCGTGGATTGTTCTGGAAAGCCTAATTTCCCAAGGAGCTGGGGGTTCACACTGAGAAGCACAAGCTCAAATGCCTCTAGCTGGTGACAGTAACAAAGGTGTGACTCCGCAGAGAATGGCACAGAAGGGAGTAGGGGAGTCTGTGGAGAACCAGAGAGTGCCTGCCCTGCCCACAGGGACCCACATTAGGAAGGTTCATGCAGGTGTGCTGAGCTCAGTTCTGTGGGTTGCTGGTGACCACTAGCTTTCACTTTCAGTCAGAATTTTTATTTTAGGTGTAAAGATGGAACTCTCCAGGGGCACCAGGGTGGCTCAGTGGGTTAAAGCCTCTGCCTTTGGCTCAGGTCATGATCCCAGGGTCCTGGGATCGAGCCCCACATCAGGCTCTCTGCTCGGCAGGGAGCCTGCCTACCCCTCTCTCTCTGCCTACTTGTGATTTCTGTCTGTCAAATAAATAAATAAAATCTTTAAAAAAAAATAAAAGATGGAATTCTGCAGAACATAAGCCCCACCCTTCATGAAGACACCCTAATGAGCACACTGTAAGCCCACGGACGACATATAGTACCGCTGACTAAAGTACTCTGGGATACCAGTGTGTTCTCAGAGCCAACTGAGGTACCCCGACTTTAAATGGCCCCAAGGTGTATGTGTCTACTTTTATCTAATTTCCTCATCCTTTGCTATCAAGCTGTCGTCTGTCCTTCATGCTCTTACCAACCCGCCTGTGTATAGCATTTGCGGGTCAAACATCTCATTTGACCCCACTTGTTTGAACTGTACGTAAAATTAGTATAAACAAGCTTTGAGTTGGGGCCTTACGCTTTCTCCTAGGAGTTAAGTGCATGAGCTTTAGTGCATGGACTTTTAAAACATCTAATCGGGCTGCTCAGATGCCTTTTTTTTGCTTACTTCCTTGTTTCTCGGCTGTGTCCCCAATAGATGAGGGCGCTGGATAGCTGAATTCCAGATAGGTGAGGTGTCAACTCTGTGTGTGCAAGTGTGTGTATCTGTGTGTTGGTGTGTTTACAAATTGTGTATGTGTATACATCTAAGTATTTGTGTATGCATATATACAGACGTATCTGCTAGTAGAAAATAGAAGGTAACCTAAGGTAAACTTAGATACCAACATTCTGTGGTCTGTTCGTGGATGTGGCTCTGGGCTCCTCTTTGTACCTTGTGATGGGTGGGAGGTTAGATCTTGACCAAGGGAGATCCCGCCCTGGTGCTGTAGCATGTCAAGACACTTGGGGGTAGACATATTCTCTGCAATGAAAAGTGTGGGCTTGGAGTCCAGGTGGCCTGGATTCAAATCCCAGCTCTACCACCCACCCGTGGTGTGACCTTGGGCATGTCCTTGGACCTCCCAAGACCTCCAACCCTCACTTGTGAATTGGGATTCCTTCTTTCGGGGTAGTGGGATAATATGTTAAAGGCCCCTTGCACAGTGTTTGGGACTTGGTAGATGCCTGGTTAAATTTGATTTCACGTCCCTTTTGCTTTAAAAAAAAAAAAAATCCTTGAAAATTTCAGACACTTGTTTGACCTGATGCCAGGTAGAACATGAAAAATAAAACTGTTTAAAAAAGGGAGGGGGGCACCTGGCTGGCTCAGTCGGAAGAGAGAGAGCCTAAGAGCATCCATGTCGGATCCCGGATCTGTGACTTGGGGTCATGAGTTCGAGCCCCACATTAGGTGGAGAGATCACTTAAATAAATTTTTTTTGAAACTTTAGAAATAAATTAATTAACCAATGAAAATTAAAAAAAAAAAAACACTTCAACAGATTGTCTTTCCTAGCTACTCGGTTTCCCTGGTCAGCATTAGAACCTTGCTTTTGGTCCATCTAGATCAACAGCTCCACAGCAGACAGTAGCTACAGTTCAAGAGGTGTTTAGTTTTCCAAAAAATGTTCTGCATGTCACAACTTAGAGAGGGTTTCAGTAATTCTAGCACGGGAAAGACTTCTAAAAAATGAGAAAAGATAAAGCTGTCCCTGAGAGCTGGGAGCTACCTAGCCCTCCCAGCTGGGCCTCAGTGTCCCTGGCTGACAAAAACCAGCTTCCCAGAACTTCAGCATCAGACAGGGGCACTCCGACCATGAAAGACCAGACACAAACAGGGCCACTCCATTGTCACGTATGAATGCAGACAAAACGTGAACGTTGACCAAACCACGGGGGACTGACACCTCTTTACCAATTACAGCTTGAGCCTACACGGCCTTCTCTCCATCTAGATAAGAATTATTAAGATTCCCAGTTACTAAACTGGTCCCACTTCCCGACAGCATCTAATCCAAACCCTAGCCCAGCTTCCTTAAACCCTCTCCCAAATTGCCTAACACAAATCCTGAATTTTCTAACACCCTCCTACTGAGGCATCCCACAGTTCCCCACGGTGGACAAATCTCTCATGGCAGAGAATGATAAAGCCACATCTGTTAGACTCTAGGTATAATCCTGGTGCTCTTTGGCTGAGGAACTATGAAAAAAATCCAGGAGCTAAAGTGTGCCTGGTGAGCCAACAGGCATCCCTCAACTTCTCCCAAGCGCCACCCCACCAAAAAAATCCAAACCACAGATTCTTAGACCGTACCCTTCCCAATGCTTATGAGCTAAGGCTAGTGCTGTGTGAAAGCATAGAGTCTCCCCAGGCCACTCACGGAGTCACAAGGCCATGTGCTGTGGTGTCCGATCTCAGTTCTGTGACTCTCGGCAAGTAACCTCACCATTCAGAATCCATTTTCTTACCCAGATGAGGAGGATGGGATCTGGGGGGCATTCAGTGGAAGCGCCTAGGAAGGCCGTATAGCACTCCAGCTGAGCGTGGTCCTCAGCGTTCAAACCACCTGAGTTTGAATCCCAGCCTGGCCACTTGCCATCTTGATGACCTCAAGCAACGTACCTGACCTCCAAGTGCCTCGTTTCCCTTATCAGTAGTTATGAGAATCAGAAGAGAGAAAACTTTTCAGCTGGTTAGAGCTGGGTCTGTCCCCAGCTCAACACTCGGTACCTGTTAGCTATTCTCACGCTTGCTGTTGGTACCGTCCTGATCTAAACCCTCAGCCCAGAGTCTGGGCAGAGGGAATAGTCTAGCACCTGCTGTTATTGTCATAGTTTCACAGAGGACACTTGGCGTTCAGTTTCATAGGACAGCCTGGGGGTAAGAGAATTTGAAATCTCCATTCCCTGCCAGGAAGAGAGTTGGCTTCCAAGCCCAGGGCCCATCTGTGGGAGGATTTGCCGAGTAAGACTAACGGAATTAATGATTAAAGTGTTTGTTCTCGACTAAGTAGACATCCAGCAACCCCATGTGCTCAAAAGCAGCAGGTTGTGTCATACCCCCTCTCTGCAGATGAGCGATGTTCAGCGTTAAAGGTCAGATCTCTTTCTCTGAGTGTCACGATGCATTGTGTCCCCGCCAGGTGTCCATGACATGGAAGTTACCCTCTTCTCTCCAGGGGATAATGATCCTAGTTTAATTAGGCAGAAAAGTATTGGCATCTACCACGTTCGAAGCACAGTCATGCTTCCCCTGGGACCCAAGCACATAATCCCGCCTCATTCTAGACCAACCCGGGCTTCTCTTGACAGGGACTGGTCTGTGTGCCTGTTTCCTGAAGATTTGTCCCTGTTGCTTGGCAACCATAATATTTCTAGCATACATTTATGGTTGTTCTTTTTTCAATCTAAAGCATTCAGGAGCTTGGCAAGGCACGTGATTAGCGCCCGAGCACTGTAATCAGGCCGTGGTAGGGTAGAGGGAGATGCAGCATCCTTGGGCCCCCTTGCCCCATAATGATTTGGAGAACATGGATTTCATTTCAGGTATGCAAAACATGCATGACAAGGGAATGACAGTTCAGCCTGACCTCAAAGCTTCTTTTTCCTATGGGGCCCTGGAAAACAACGACAACGTTTCAGAGATCTACGCTCCTGCCACGCTGCCCATCATGCAAGAGGAACACAGCTCCGGGGGTGCCTCTGGGGTGCCCTACCGAGTCCTGGAACACACCAAGAAGGAATGAGCCCGCCTTGAAGGAGACTGCCCTTCCCTCCATTTATAACTGCTCTCAAGCCAGGCCGACAGTGAGCAGTTCGACCCTGAATTCTAAAGTTTGCCTTTCAAGTTCTTACTTTTTTTAAACCGAGAACTCTCTAGAAGGGGATCTCGGAGACCTTTGTCTCTGGCAAAGAATGTATTATCTTGGTCTCAGAGGTTTTAGATGACCGGGGTGGGGGGTGGCGGCGGGGATAAAAGCTGTATTCCCCCTTCCCCGGGGTCGGAGGGAGTGCGGAGTTCAGACTCTGCCAGGTTCTGTCCAGCCCGCTTGGGAAAGCAGTCATGATCCCTGAGGATGGTAACTGAGCTTCCTCTGGCGGTGACCAAAGATTGCCGCGTTCCTCGGGGCTAAAGCAAGGCAGACATTCCGCTCTCACTTTCCACATCCCGTGAAAGGCTAGAGACCTCAGAATCTAATCTTCCCTTGCCTGATCCTCCCCATCTCACTCAACATCCCACATTTCCGCTAACATCTGTGCTGTCATCCCAAAGCATAGTAAAGCCAGCCCTGGGAACATCCTATCATTCACCTGTAGAAAATACACTTCTGCCTTCCAGTGGTTTGTGCCCTTCTGGAGAAAACATGCTTGGTGTGTTTGTATTAGATCTGCTCTGAAAACTAATTTGGTTTTGGTTCTGTGAACTATGTAATTGCTTTTCTCCTCCCAACCCCCCCCCACCCCGGGTTAAGAGTTAAGAGAAGGAGGGAAATAAGGACAGGAGCAGGGGTAATGATGCGTTAGCCCATAAAGGAAGAAAAATCCCTTTTCATCTTACAAAAGGTGATTGTACCACTTATAAAAGGATAGGCAGAAAACCTGGCTGTTTCATGGGTGTGTTCCTGCCCACCAGTGCCCTCTGGAAGGCTTGGGGTTGTGTACTGCAGAGACAGCCTCCATCCTCTCTCCATCAAACCAAACTTGAATTACTGGTTCATTTCCTTGGAGTTGACCAAGACCCTTTAGGTCACACCATGTGCGTATGTCTGGGAAAGCAAGCATTCTTGGTAAGGGATTGCTGCTTTCTTTCTGGACTTCTGAGAATGACAGAAGGGTTTGAGGACTTGAGCATAATGATCCCCTAGGGAGTGTGTTTAAAATGCAGATTCCTACACCTCTACACCCATTCCTCTATGGGAATGACGGGGAGGAAAAAGAGTCCACATTCTTAATGGACAGCAGGGTCATTCTGATGCAGGCGATCCAAGGAGCACACACCTTGAAATTGAGAGAGATGGGCTGCGAAAACCTCCTGGTTGGGAGGGGTGCCACACCCCTCCTGGAAAGTTGTTATTACCCCAACTTGTTTCCTGTCTAGGGCTCATTTAGCAGGTCAAATAATTCCCATAGGATCCAAGGCATTTATCCATCCCATGATTGCTACTTAGATCGACACTTACTGTTTCCCTAGGCACTCTTTAAATAATAGGCGAGATAACAGTGTTAATAGACCAGTGTTGATAGATCATTAACCTTTATGGATTGTGCTTCATATCGATTTACTACCTTGACTTCGAAAACTGGCATCTGTTGCTTGTGATAACCACTCCGGTATTGTGTCTGACGTGCCTAAGAAGGCAGCAATGACCTTTTTTCTTCAGGATACGTATCCACTCAGTTCAACAATATTTGTGATGCATTTGCTGTGTTTTATTGAGCATTTGGATGGGGGCGCCTGGGTGGCTCAATTGGTTAAGTGTCTGCCTTTGGCTCAGTCCCCTGTCAGGCTCCCTGCTCGGTGGGGAGTCTGCTACTCCCTCTCCCTGTGCCCCCCTCTCCACTCATGTGTGATCTCTCTCTCTCTCTCTCTCTCTCTCACTCTTGCTCTCTCAAGTGAATGGGTAAAATCTTTTAAAAAACTAAATAAATAAGCATTTGGATGGTGAGGGCTACAAAGAACAGCCTTGGTCTCTGCCCTGCAGACCCGCAATGGAAGATACAACAGGGAGGTTTGGAGGGGGGCACAGAGCAACCATGGGCCACAGAAAAAGGACAGTTAGGGGAGCCCTGCTAAAGGTCAGGCCCAAGCCCAGAGCAGGTTATTCAGAACCCAAGATGATTTGGGGGCACCTGGCTGCCTCAGTCGGTTGGGCATGTGACTCTTAATCTCTGGGTCATGAGTTCAAGCCCCATGTGTGGTATAGATTTTACTTAAAAATGTTTTAAATTTTTTAATTAATTAAAAAAAAGAATTGGTGATGATTTGGGCTTTGCTCATCAATGGGGGCAAATCTTGCAAAGATGTGAGTAGGGTGACCACCTCCCCCTGCCCCCGTCAGAGGGGCCAGCATTTGCAAAGGGGCAGAGGTGGGGAGTGGGTGTTGGCAAAGAAAAGAGAGGTAGAGAGGGTGGTGGGAGATGATCTGGAAAGATAAGCAGTGGATGCCCAGTCATGCAGGTCTCGAATGCCAGCTAGAGGAGATCAAGGTGTATCTCAGAGAGCATGGGAGCCATTGATGATTCATAAGAGAGAACGGCAGGATCAACACTGATTGGAAAGGAAGCTTTATGCCGAGTATAGGGAATCTGAAGGGACAGTAAAAGTCACTTTTCAAGGTCAAGCTGTAAGCCCACCAGAACAAAACAAAAAAGGGGAATTAAAACCTGGTTTTGCTGTTCTTCAGATTTTCCAAGTGACTTTTCTAAGGTGGGCGAGATGAGGGCAGAGTGGATAAATGGAAGATGAGCAGGGGCGCCTGGGGGGCTGTCATTAAGCATCTGCCTTTGGCTCAGGTCATGATCCTGGGGTCCTGGGATTGAGCCCCTCATTGGGCTCCCTGCTCGGCAGGAAGCCTGCTTCTCCCTCTCCCACTGCTGCTCCCCCTGCTTATGCTCTCTCTCTCTGTGTCAATTAAATAAATAAATAAAATCTTTAAAAAAAAAAAAAAAAAAAGGAGGGAAGGTGAGCAGGGAAGCCATCTCAGTGTGTCAGACCAGGTGATCATTCTGGAGTGTTATGTGCTCCAACCTCACTCTGCCCCTTCCCTTTTTTGGTTATGCGCCTTTTGGTCTCAAGCCAGGCAAGAATGAGAGGAATGGATAAAAGCGTGTTTCAGTTTCAGGTCAGCTGACTGTCATGCTTTCGGTACCACCAGCCCCCACCTCTGGGGCCTGGGCCACCTCTGCCTGCAGGTTGTGGGTGATGGCATTGTCCTCTGAAGCTGAGCACAGGAAGTCTGAGCAGAGATCGCAGGACAGTTTCCTGATGGGAAGCGGGGGGTAGGCCCCTGGGGACTCTGGGAGAGCAGCCGATCTGGGGCCTTGGACTCCAGAGTTCTGAGTCTGTCTGGGGCTGTCTTCTCCCACCCTTTGTCTCCAAGTAGAAATGGACTGTTTGCTGGTGGCACTTGCTGTTAGGACAGGGGAGGTGGGGAGGATATCAACTTTTTACTCACAGCCCAGTTTCTTTATTTTTTTCTCCTGGCTCTGGAATGCTCCAAGCCATGTTAAGAAGCATGCCTCTCTCTATTTCCTAGCAGCCAGTACCAAAGCAAGCTCACCAAACTTGGGTTCAAACTTCCCATCATTCCCTGGTCTTCCTCTCTGCACTCCACTCTGTCCTCCTCTTCTAAAGACTGGGACTCTGGGTTCTCTAATCAGACATTAGAACCAATTCCAAGACTGGTCCCAGTGGGCTTTAATGAGAGCTCAGACCCTCCCCGGACCCCTCCCTTGAAGCCACAGATCTGATGAGGCCATTGCATTAAGCTTCAGGTCATGTAGGGTCTTTGCAGCGTGAAACTGATTGCTGTGTAGGGAAGGGAGGACCAACGTTTCCACTGCTTTTCCAGGGGAAACCAGCCAGCTTGGTGGTACTGGTATACACAGGACATCCATCAGGGTAGTGCTGGAGACCCTCCACCGCTCCCTCTTGTGAATTCCATATCTGGTCCAACAGTGGCTGATAAGCAAAAAAAGAAAAAAAGAACTGCGTGTTTCTCTGAGAAGCTGTGTAACTGAAGTCACCTTAGAATATATTCTATGTGGATGCTTATATTTTGTTAACTCCATGACTGATATAGCATGTCTTATTTTTCAAAAAATGTATGTGTTAGGTGCAAATAATATTATGAAGTGGTATTTAATTAAAAAAAGACCATGTGACACCTATTCAGTTCAAGTCTTATGTTTGGCTAATACTTCCTCAAGTTGTCGGGAATAGTGCTGTCCAGCATAACTTTCAGCAGTGACGGAAGGTTCTGTTCTGTGTCTGCCACCAAGGACCACAGCCACTAACCACATGTGGCTATCGAGCGCTTTAAATGTGGCAAGTGCAACCTAGACACTAGATTTTTAATTTTATTTAAATTTAATCAAATTCGAATACCACACATAGCTAGTGGCTCCTGTAGTAATACGGTCCTAGAGATGCCCGTGATTGCAGTGAAGGCTGAATTAAACACTTTATTTTTGTTTTTCCTGCAGTAGTTATGGCTATAGACTTTGTAGCTAATTGCTTAAGTTTGATTCCAACTCCGTTATTAGCTGTGTGGCAATGGCAAGTTACTGGTAACTCTCTAAGCCTCATCTGTGACATCTGTGAGACAGGGACAGTAACAGGATCAACCTAAGGGTTATTATGAGGCTCAGATGAGCTAAGAGGTGTGAAGTCTTGCAACTATGTTTAGCATCCCATCAGGTTGTTACATTATGCTGAAGCAAGGGGGCGTCCTAACCGCAGGAGCTTCTGTCCCCAGGGAGTTGAGGTCATTGGACTTCCCGTTGTGGATGTCTTTGCCCACCTCCTTGTGTGACTGGACTTTATGGAGACTGAACAATTAGTAAGTCAGTTTTTAGCCCCTTCCCTCTCCCGGGGTTGGAGGGCGGGGCTGAAAATTCCCATCTTCTAATCAGGATTTGGTTTTTCTAGTGAGCAGCCCACCCAGGAGCCATCCAAGAGCCCACACGGCATCAAAATATGCAGGGTGCCTGGGTGGCTCCGTCACAGTTGGGCATCTACCTTTGGCTCGGGTTATGATTCCGGGGTCCCTGGATCAAGCCCCACTTCAGGCTCCCTGCTCACCGGGGAGTCTGCTTCTCCCTCTCCCTTTGCCCCTCCCCCGGCTCGTGCTCTCTCTCACTCTCTCTCAAATAAATAAATAAAATCTTAAAAAAAAAAAAAAAAACCAGGGGCGCCTGGGTGGCTCAGTGGGTTAAGCCTCTGCCTTCAGCTC